TGTTGGTGGTGTCCCAAAAGAACTCCACCAGAGCACGAACTACATGGTGACCCCCGCTGGAGGCAACCATTGCCTCTGAGGTCTCGTACAGTGCAGCAAGACCGCAGGACTCCCATAGGAGTCTCGTCTTGACATCTCTGGCGATGTACATCTTGTACAGATCGCCCAAACCGTCACAGCCGGAGCCATGACAGCGCGTCCTCCTAACGGTGATACCCCGTCTCGCCCTCTCAGAAATGTGGTGGAAAGGGGAAAAGAACAAGGTCCGCTCATCCCACTCAGGGAGTCGACCAAGCGAAGTGGACGACTCGGCGTCGTCCTCCACGGGCTCGTGCTCCCGTCGAATGTCTCGTGACCGTGAACCGGAACCTCACTGTCTAGCCATGATACATTGTGTAGAATAATCATAAATTAAGGTTCTATAGTATCTAAGGTTCGCCTAGCCGCATGATACTATGTTCGCAAAAAACAGAGTACGTAGTACTAAAACAGAGCACAAATTCAAATTGAGCATAACGGCATTTTTCAAGCAATCAAATAATTTCTTGCAATACTATAGTAATTATTGTGACAAATTGGACAAGAATTGCTAGCAAAAACATCAAGAACAGGCCACATTGTATTCTAGACCTCAAGAGGTCTAACAATGGCAATTCTTTCATATCTTCGCCAAATTGAGTCAAACAAGTCTCAAATTACTCCCAATGCAATATATAAACATAATCAAGCAATTTCATGGCATAAAATTTGACAAACAAAGAGAATTGAGCATTCTAAGTTTCAAAAATTCATCAAATTCGAAAATAAACACATACAAAATTCATAAAAATCGGTGTAAGTTTGAAGAAAACTTACATAGATCGGGAAAATGGATGAAACAAGCTTTAATTTGCAACAAATTTGGGCAAATTTGGGCAAATTTGGTTGAGAAACGAGCAAGAACAAAGCAAGTGAATTTTTGGAAATTTTCGAGTAAAGACGCGACGAGCAACAGCGAAAATGAAGAAGAAAAGGGGTATTTAAGGAATACCCTATTCTGGCGCCAAGCACTAGACCTTGGCGTCAACAGATAGGCTTGGCGCCTGGCGCTAATCCCAGCGTCTGGCGCTAAGGCCAGCGTCTGGCTCTAAGGCCAGTTGAGTGGCGCTGATGTTTTTTCAGCGGCGCCAGAATGTTCAGCCACTCAGTGAGGTTGTTCTACCTTTTTGCAATATATTTTGGGTTCCTTGGTACGCCATTTGGCCCTCTAAGCAATTTGACGCGATTTTTAGTAATCGGCTTGATTGCACAAAGTGATCAACCTGATGAAAGATCGTCTCACTTAGCTTAAAGCGCCTAAGTATTGGCTCATTAACAAAAGGTACCGACATGCTGGCTCATTCGCAAAAGGCACCGACATACAGGTTCAAAGCAACAAAAGCGCCGACGTCCAGGCATAGCGGAAGCAAAGTTCAAGCGAGCTTTTAAAGATCGACAAGCAGAGATCTTTGGTAATTTCCTTGGAAATTTATCGCAACAAATAAGGATAGCTTCAAGCGAGGATATCTTCGACGGCATTCCCTAGATTGTGGAGAGTTGTCACAAACAACTGAAGATGATTTCAAGCGAAGTCGTCTTCGATAGTATTCCCTTGGACGTGGAATATTATCAAAGAAGAAGAGGATTGTTTCAAACGAAACAATCTTCGATAGTATTCCCTTGGACGTGGAATATTATTAAAGCGGAAGATGATCGTTTCAAGAGAAGAAATATTTAATATTGGAAGCAGTTACAAGCGTAGCGGTTTTCAAGCGGGATGACATTCTCCTGGCAGGAGGTCATCAAAACAACAGTAAAGCAGCAGCAAATTGATTACTTTCAGAGACATGTGCTCGACGGTGCAAGATACGCGTTTCTTAACTCTCTTATCTGCTTAACTAACACTAGTTCGCAAGTATCGGCGTTACAAGAGTGGTTTAGGATCGCAGAACGTTCTGGATCATTCTCCGTCCCTATCGATACTTTGACTTTCATTTTCAAAACTTGCGTTTCTCCAAACTCAGTCAAAGTGGGGGCTTCTGTAGACACCCATTTGTGTCTCCCCAAAACCAAACCCAGTGATGAGTACCTTTCGCGTCGAATCATAATCCAATAAAGTGAAAGTGTGGAAAGTTTAGTGTTGCGGATAGTTTTAATTTCTTTTCTCTTCTCTCTGTTTTTTAAAACTTATTTTAAGAAAAACAGCTAATCCAGTTTGGTTGGTTCATGATATGGTCCAATAGTAGTGTAGTTGGATGGGGCCTGATATAGATTTATCATTCCTAATGCAATTAGAAATGGTTTTAGTCTTTTAGATTCTTCTAGAAGGTTCTTTTCATTCCTAATTCAATTAGCATTGATAAATTGACTTTTGTTGACTTTTTAGAGTTTTAATTAGAATCAAAGAACGTTTTTGAGGAAGATACGATTTTATCCTCCTGTACGGCGATTTCTATCTGATTTTAAGAAAACGCGTGAATTTCTGAATCAGCGCCAAACGCTAGCTGTAGCGCCTGGTGCTACGCTTGGCGCCTTGCGCTAGCATTGGTGCCTGGCGCTAATGTTGGCATCTGGCGCCAATAGCCAGCGTTGGCGCTAATTATTTTTTATTTGCGTCAGAACTCTGTTTTGATATTTTATCTTTTTGGCTGATTTTCTGTATAAATAACGTCGTAAAAACTCCGTTTTCATTCACCAACTCTCATCAAGATTCTCTTGATTACTCATTCTCTCACTCTTTTCTAAACTAGATTTTTCTCAAATACAAAATTTCGCATTCATTAGATCTAGATACACCTAGCCATATTCGAATTGCATTCGCCCTAGAAGTGAAAGGTTTAATTTCTGAGGGTTTGGTCCCAAATCTCTATTTCAATTATTTAATTGTTGTTTTGTTTATTATTTTCCTTGAAGTTACTAACGTGTGTATTTTGTTATTAGAAAGAGGTACGAGGCATCAAATTAAGTACTTTAATGGTTTTTATTGATGTTATGATATAGAGTTCATGCTTAGGTTGTTATTATGATATTCCTAGTATCATGTCCAGGGTAAATTTAATACCAATCATGATTTCTATGATGCCTTTTATGTTCTTCCTAATATTTATGATTGTTAGTATCATGTTAGGGTTAAAGATTTTATTTTTATTGTTAGTGACATGTTAGGGTTTGTTATTAATCTTGTTAGTATTATGCCTAGGATCTTGTTATTAATATTTGATGAGTGTCATTTATGGCACTCATAGGGTAGTCTTTTAGGGTTATTTCTTTCCCCTTTTCATGCTTTCTTCTCTAATTTTTGGTCCTTTTTCCTTTAATTTCTCTTTTTCCTCTTTTCTTTATGATTCTCGTGTTTTTATCGTGTTTTCCTTTATTTGGCTCTTTTCCCCTTTTATTTCCTTTCTTTGTTTACTTGTGTAGGTATTGTGAGAATCACTTTGGAAAAGGATTCAATTTGGGACCTTAATGATCAATCAAGGAAGAAGCATTTGGCTAGAGAGGGCTTAGAGAGGCCTTGGAGAGGCCTCGGAGAGGTTTCCAAGGCAAATCAAGCAGGCCGCGGGCGCGGGTAATCTTGCCGCGGGCGCGGGCCTATGTTACTCAAAATTGCCAAAACTTGGCAGGAACTTGCCGCGGTTGCCCCGCGGGCTCTCCGCGGGCGCGGGTAAAATGGAGAGGCCGCTCTATTTAAAGAGACCGCGACCCCCTGATCAGGCTTTGAGAGTAGGGGATTAGCCGCGGGCACGGGTTTCACTGCCGCGGGCGAGGGTCTCTGTTGCCGCGGGCGCGGGTTTCACTGCCGCGGGCGAGGGTCTCTGTTGCCGCGGGCGCGGGGTCTGCCCAGATAGCCCGCGGAGGGTTCCGTACCCATTTCTCCGCGGGCGCGGGTCTATCGACAGAGGGCGCGGGAGCTGCCGATTTCTTCTTTGCTTATAAATAGAATTGTATTTCCTTTTTGAAACCAACTTTTTGATAATTTTCATTAGCTTAGTTTTAGAGAGAGAATCTAGAGAGAAGTTAGAGAGAAGTTCTTGGTTTTGGATTTGTAACTCAACATTTGATCAATCAAGTTTGGATTTCTTCATTTTCAATCATCAATATTAGTGAGAATCTCTTCCTTCACTACAACAATTAATCACTTTTGCCACGAATTATGCCATGGGAATATGAAATTCGTGGCATAATTTGATCTAGCCACTGGAAAAATAAAGTCAACAAAAAACTTGATATGTCAACAAAATTTTATGCCACGGGAAAAAGGAAATTCGTAGCTAATTGAAACTTGTGCCACGACTAAATTTCTTTTCCGTGGCAGATAAACACTTATGCCACGGGTAATTATGTTCCCGTGGCAAATTGACACTTGTGCCACGACTAATATTATTCTTGTGGCAAACAAACACTTTTGTCACGGATATTATTTTCGTCGTGGCATTCAATCTAACACTTCTGTCAGGACTGTCACGTTTAATTTTATTTTTGTGTCAAACATATATTGATACAAACCGATCACGTTGTTTAAGGAAAATAAACTTGGACTAATTCCATAATGAATCTTACAGCATAGAAGTAATTATTATTTTTATGGTTAAATATACAATTATTTTTAACCATGAGATATATAATCTTTTTTCTTTATTACAAATTTTTTTCTTTATTACAAAATCCATAGGTTTTTAACTATTAATAACATGGTTCAAAAAAAAAAAAAAAACTATTAATAACATTGATTGTATGAATTAATATCTATGTCAAATCTATAGTAAAATTGATGGAAACTTGATTATGCACTACTATAGTCGTATGACATTTACAAAAAAAAAAACAAAAAAAAAATAAATTAAAATGTCATACCTTTATAATTATTAAAACAAAAAAACAATTTGGTTTAAAAAAAAAATCATAAAAGTGGCACAAAAATATTAAAATTTATTTATTTCTTTTTTTTTTTTTTTTTTTTTTTTTGCATTTTTTAAGCTTAGTTAATAATGCAGAATTGCAGATAGTATAACATATACTTACAAGAGGTTATTCTCATAAAACTTGTGTAAATTATACATTGCAAATTCTTTACAAATAAATAGAAGTTTCAAACATGGCTGGAAGCCTGTATAACAAATGAAAACAGCAGCAACATATGGACATTGATTACATTGGAATGATCAAGACAACAGCAGTAGCAGCATCGTATGGACAACAAAACAAACAACTACAGCATCAAGCGCATATGTTCCCATATACAACCACATCTGTCCTGACATACACGACACATAATCTGAAATATGAAACGAAGCAGAAGCAGATGCAGCAACACTCAGCAAATGCAACAACAATAGCCTTGTTTCACCTTAAGCTATTCTCTCACATTCTTAATCCAATTAGCAACCTCCTTCTCAAACGAAACGTCAACAAAAAATCCTTCTCTTTAGCGATGAAATCAATGGCAGATTAATCACTTGTAGAAATTCATTCCATTAGCTAACAATCTTCATCTTGTTGTCAAGCAAGCTGCTTACCCTGTTCCAATCATCAGCGACTAATTATCAATTTGTGTTTCGAGTCATAGAACTTGATGCATGTACATACATATAACAACTTACAGCAAATCAATCTAAGATGCTGCAACTCAAACATGTGGAAGCAAGTAAATGTGCGGGTTGACGATTAGATTACCCATACCTACCAAGCGGTAACTAAATATCATTTCCTAAAGACTCCTTTGCTTGCTTGCCTGACTAGGCAATATACAAAAGAAGAATTGGTTATTTTCTTAAATGTTTCAGACACCATATGAAAGGACATTTGTAATAAAAAAAATAATAATAGATGGCTGTAATATTACACTTTCATATTAAAAAATTTACAACAGCAGCGAGAGTAGAGCAGCAGTAGTTCTAGAGCAAAGCAGCAGCAGTACTGTAGAGCAAAGCAGCACCTGGAGCAAAGAATCATGCAGCTAAAGCATAGCAGCATGCATCTGGTCCAGGAGTCTTAAAGTAATTAACCACACAAACGACAACCATTATTGGAGGGGTCTTAATTATTAATGTGAACTTTACTAGTTTAATAATACCTGGTTTGATTTTAAATGGATTAAGCAATAAGTTCCTGGAAACTGGTGAAGAGAAGATAGCCTACACCAAGCTAGAACAACCTAACATTTGTCATCAATGGATGGTCAGATGCATCATCAACTTAGTTGAGCCCCCCCTAAACTTCCTTCAAAAGCTTTTATATTTTGTTAGACTTCTAAGCATCTAATTTTACTGTTATAGCAATTAAGAATCAAATAAGTTGATGTCTTGTGGCTTTTGCTTCTTTCCTTCGAGGTTTCAGTCATTATCTTGCTGGAAAAAGCTATTTATTGTCTAGCTACTAATTCTAGAGCCTACATGGATTACAAAGGATGTATCCAAAAGAATTTTACAGAATTATGTATCTCATTGTTGGGGATGGATGACACAATACTCCCCGAACAATATTGTGGCAATAACTAGAAACCCCAACTATGTAGACCTCAAATGTCAAGCAAGCATATCAAGAAAGCATATGAAATTTTTATAATAGCTTCCTAATCTTTGACATTGCTTTTATTTAGTTAGTTATATAAGTTCAATTCACTTTCCACATTAGATTTTTATTGTTATAGACTTATGTCGTTGAATCATTTTTAGGTAGGACTACCATTGCTCCATAACTTCTAATTCCAAAACAAAAGCCTTTCCCCTTATTTATTTCTCCCTCGTCTTACCCTCATTAAACTAGTTAACTAGTTCATACTTCATATTCCAATAAGAAAAGCACCAAATGCAGACAACTAGCTCATTCTTAGATGACTGAAAAGAAAGTGCATGAAATCACCTCAAAACACATTCTGCCAACAGTAGAGATGGTATCAACTGGATATAAGCTACGAAAGGTCTCTGCACCTAGAATAATTGCATTACTCCCTGGATCAATCAGATATAGAGGAGAAAGTATATTAGCAAAACAATGCTATACATGCTCATGAAGAAAATCTGCAGTAGAAGGCTTCTAAATAAGTTGAAGTTCACTATGAGTATTAATAAAATGAAAACATGCCTTTTTGTATATACTCTAAAAATTGATCAACGAGAATCTATAAGTAACATGTAGATGTTCAGAATCTGAAAAACACTGGTATACCATCTAATACAGCATTTGCAACATCAAATGCCTCAGCTCGTGTGGGTCTAATTAAGGTTATCGGTCATGCTATCCACCACACGAGTAACCACTACTGGCTTACCAGCCATGTTACACTTGAGCAGAGCAGCCTTTTGGAATAAAAATACCTGTAAAATCCATTATAACAAGTACATTTAATCAATTAGCCATCATATTGATATTAATCTGTAGGCCTTTTAAGATATAATCAAGTTACCATTGTCTGTAGATTGTTTAAATTGCTTCATTAAAACCTTGATTCACATTCAAGAAATACACATAATTTTCCAAAAACACCATGGGAAAAAGAACTAGACCTTCTCTAGTGGGAGATCAATTCCCAAATTTCCACGAAAGAGGACAATGCCATCAGCTACTTGTAGAACTCATCAAAATGGGTCAATCCCTATATAAAGAAAGATAAAATGCACGTATCAAGCTGATCTCCTATATGACAAGTAATTGACAAGCATTAAGAGAACCCCTTTTCTACACTTAGTCAATCAAAGCATCGATCTCTTATATGATAGGATGTTGCAGAGCTCTCATCTGAACTTTTATCCATTGTTGAAATACATACATCAATATATTTATTTGATGACATCCCAACAAAGCGAACACAATCAATTGCTAGCATAAAAATACAGCCGCAGATTAAAAAAAAAATTGAATACTTCAATTCTCAGGATTAAAAAAAAAAAACTATATTATTCAGAAACCCAACTCAGTGAAAACAATGCAAATAATTCAAGAAAAACAATACTTTGTATAACCCAAAAAAAATCAAATAATTTTTAGAAAACCAATGTAGATCCGACCTCAAATCACCCATAAAATGCCAAAAAAAAAAGCAAAAACAACTAAATCAAGTAACCATCAATACATCAGCTAATTCGCTGATGGTGAGAGATTAAATACAAATTTCACAACTCATGGAAACCTCAAATTGATTTGAAGAAACCTAACTTTAGAGAAGTATTAAATTTTAGATCTTGGAGAGAAGGAAATTACCTATGAATTTGAGATTTCCCACTTGAGTAAGAGAATAGAGTAAGGTAGATGATGGATAAATGCTTGAAATCAGAAGATAATGGTATTTTCTGGTATGGATCATAAGTTATTTTCCACTTTAGAAGTTTTACTACGATTTTTCACTTTTTTTTTATATGCACTTGGAGGAGTTGGAGACTTGGAGGGAGTTTATCCGCCAATATTGCTTCTAGAAGGAAGAATTTTCCTATAAAATTTTAACCAAGTTAAATGCTTTATTGATTATGGAGGTAATTTTCCCTCCTAAATTTTCACTTAAAAGTTGTAAAATTGATTAAAAACTTTATTTGTAATATTGTAATTTAATACCCAAGTATCTAGTTAAATTAAAGATAGTGTACAACAATTACATAGTACATGGTCACTAGACATTTTATAAATATAGATTTATTATTTTAAAAATATAAATTTAATATGGTATAATTAAGTATGTAGTAGATATGAGCATAATTGTAAAATTGCACTACAGTGATAAGACAAGCTTATGAAGTAAGAAAATTTGATTCAAGTAATATAAATTTATTACATTAGTTTAGTTGTGTCGCGGTCGTGTAAAATATAAATGATATAATTGAGTAGTAAATATGAGGATCAGTTGACCATATTGGTATATAAGTTAACACCATTATGACATATTTGTATATAAGTTGTTGCCGACGACATATTGGTATAAAAGTTAACATGTGGCGACATATTGGTATATAAATTAATAAATTGAGACATTTACCCCTATTTTTTCTTCGGATGAAAGAGTGTGTTGGGTATTTGATAAAAAATAATTTGGAATAGGATTGTTAAAACATTTTTTAACAATAAACTAATTACTTTGATAATGTTGTTAGTAAGCTTTTATGGGTCCATTAATTTTTTTTAAGTTACTTTATGACTCTTTCTTAGGTTAAATGGTTAATTAAGCCCGTGGTAAACAGATGAAAGCATAAATACATATGTAATAACCTCATCAAATATTTAAATCTTACTTGTAAGAAAGAATCATAATATTGTTCATTACTCGACTTTATAGCAATATTTTGTGTTGTTACATCACCTGTACTGTGTTTGAGTGATTATTACCAAAGTTCACTTTAAAGTCAATTAATAGTAATTTAATAATTCAATGAAAGAATTCTATCAAACTCTACAATGTTAGCTGATTTATTTCATTCATCACGTTTGTCAAAGGAGAACTTTAACCATATCCATATGTTTTATTTTTTATAATTAAAAATCATTCTCCCTTTAATTTGTGTTTAAATAAATGAAACGTTTTATTATTTTTTGGAAAAATTGAAAAGAATAATCCCACCTTTCGCCCATCTGCTCAAAAAAATCCCACCTTTTCGAATTCCAGAAATAATCTCACCTTAACACCCCATCTTCCCAAAATGAACCTTTTACCGGATTATGAAATTTGTAACCTGTTTTAGAAGGTGACTTGACACTTGTCACCTTTTAATTGGTCGTCCTAATTTTAAATAATTAAAAATAAAACAAAACTATTAAAAATAAAAAAAATTCTCCCAACCCCACGACCACCCCCATCATCACCACCATCACAACCCCTGCCGCCACCCCTTTATCACCACCATCACCTCCATCACAACCCCTGCTGCCGTCCCTTACCACCATCACAACCCGAAACCCCGACCCGAAATCCCCACTTGAACTGGAAGAAATGGAAGTCGGCCGGCATGTGGATCTACAGCAAAACAACCTCCTCCCCACCCAACCCACGAAAACCACCTCCACCCCCGATTTAGGCAGCAAATTCCGGCGCTAATTTTTTTCAACTTGGAGGCGTTGATTTGTGGGATTATTTCGTGATTGTTGGCGTCGAACTCGAATCGGAGTTTTTGGGCTCGACGATGAATTACTTCACACACCAAGAGGAGGGAATCGGGGAAGGGGAAGTGGAAGGGGAAGGAATCGGGGAAGTGGAAGTGGAAGGGAGAAGGGGAAGTGGAAGGGGGAACGGAGAAGGGGAGGGAATCGGAGAAGGGGGGTTGGTCCGGTTGTTCTACCGGCTGGGGGTTGTGATGGTGGCGATGAAAGGGGTGGTCGTGGGGGCGGTGCCAATGGTGGGGTGGGCTGGGTTAGGGTGTTTGGGATTTTTTCTTTTTTTTTTTTTCTTTTTCCTTTGTTTGATTTATTAAAAAAAAAACAAAAACAAAAAAGTTACCTGTTTAAACGGTTGTAAGTAAAAAGGTTCATTTTGAGCAGATGGGGTGTTAAGGTGGGATTATTTCTGGAATTCGAAAAGGTGTGATTATTTTGAACAGATTGGCGAAAGGTGGGATTATTCTTTTCAATTTTTCCTATATTTTTAGTATCTTCTCTTTTTTTAAAACTAATATTTTGTCTACTTATTAATAAATTCAACTAACCAACCTAAAATTCCGTGAAATTAAAATGTTTCATTTATTGTTACACAAAAGGGGTAAAAATTTTATTATATGAAAGTACGTAATTAGCTGCTTATTGATAGGTTCCTAACAAATTTTCACATGAATATGTTTTCCCTTCAAATAATTCATAAAAGATGGTCTAATGAGAAGTGATTACTCGAACTTGATTTGATCTGGATAAGCTAAAGTACAACTACTGACCCGATGTTGTTTCTTAGTGGCATGGTGCGTTCACCCTTGTAAATGTGACATAATATAACTAATTGACTAATTTGAGTTTGTCTTAAAGTATTTGTCCAAAATTGACCCGATTTGAACAAGACTTAGTTTGATATATATCGAGATCGGAGATTTATGCGACCCTAAAGGTTAGACTAGTGTACGGTGTAGTATTGCATACATTATATTAAAATTATTATTACTACCTTCGTTAAATATTAGTTGCAACTTTGGAATATTTATATCTCTCAAATAATACCCAAAGTTGCAACTAATATTTAACAGATGTAGTATTTTTTATTGAAAACACATTACGGAGTATATTATAATTATAATATCATTAATAAATATTTCCCTTAAGTTAAAAAAAAAAAAAAAAACAAAATCAAAACACACAACCCAAACTAATTAGGCGCTTAAACTCACTTTCATGTTTAATTAGCCGTCAATATTCAAGAAACGAAAAAAAAAAAAAAAGTCCTCTCAGATTTGTAAAACCTTGTTTTGCTTGAGAGTTGAGAGTCATTGCAGTTCGCATCCAAACGCTAATAGAGTGAAAAACAAATTCCTTGAATTCGTTGAAAGACCATTCACTAGACAATTCCTTCAATTCCTTGAAAGACCAAGGTAAGATAGTATTCATAATTTTGTTAGGTTTTGTGTTTTATTGTATGAAATATACGGTAATTTAACTTCTTTTAATTTGAATATGGTACCAATTGCACCCTCTCGTCGACAAATTTGTATTCTAATAGTTGATATGCTTGAAAAGAATTATACTCTAAATTTTATCAATTTTGCGATTTTGGCGTGAATGTTGTGTTCAATTTATTTGTATTCTTTAATTTTCTCCTTTTCGGATGGTATCATAACTATTTTAGATTAATTAATTCGATTTTTGTAAAGGTTAATTGATTTTTTTTTTGGGTATAATCTATTCTATTTTTTTTAGGTAAAGTCTGTGATAGTTAGTGTACTATTCAATTTCTTTATTCATATTAGTTCTTTGCATGCTCTGGTAATTGATCTATTTGGTCTGAATACATGTAAACAAATCAATTGTAGGTATGATATGCACAAGTTTCAGATATGTTGCTTATATACGATGATATATTGCTTCTGATCAGTTTACTGCTTGGTAAAATTGATATGCTTTTCTTAACTGATATCATGCTTGCATCCGCTGAAATGTTGATTCTGAGTAGTCTAATGCTAGATAAAATTAATTTGTTTTTTCTTAAGTGCTATATTGTTTGGATGCGCTGATATATGCTTATGATCAGTCTAATGGGATACGTGGGGAGGGGTTATATTTGATGGGTGCAGATTGACTTGGGTATGACTACTAAGTAATGATTTTTTTTTTTTTAATTTTATTATTATTACTTATCATTTTTTTTAAAACTAGCTCTCTTCGGATTCATAGCTCTTCTTTCACATGGATACTCCGGATGTTCAAAAGAGGTTAGAGTGGATGAGGTGTGCTAATAGGACAGACAATCTATATATAGATGGAGTTAATTCCTTTCTTCAATTTGCTTTTGGTGACTTAGAAACAAATAGTGATTTAGGAGAGGAGGAAAAGAAGGTACCTTGCCCTTGTAATCGATGCAACAATGGTCCACATAAAACAAGGGACGAAATTTACACCGACTTGATAGTGAATGGAATCGTGCAAGGTTATGTTTGTTGGATCTATCATGGAGAATTCAAACCCCCACAAAAGAAAAGTAGAAATGATTTGGGAGATAGTGCTCATGATGATATATTTAGAATGATCCATGACAGGTTTAGTCCGGGAGTTTCTAATAATGATGACATAGATGACATGTTAGATGAGGAGCAACATCCTAAGGAGTTTGATCAACCTAGATATAAAAAGGATACAAAAAAGGCAAAAATGTTTGAAAATTTGATGAGAGAAGCTCAACAAACTTTATACCCCGGGTAAAATGAATTTTCTAAATTGTCATACATTTTGAAGTTATTCCAAATCAAATGTATGGATGGCATGACTAATAAAGCTTTTACTAGTATGCTTCATATGTTCAAAAATGCTTTGCCTAAAGGTGCTGATTTGCCATCAAATTATTATGAAGCACGTAAGATAATTACTAATCTTGGTTTCGATTATGAAAAAATAGAAGCATGTGAAAATGATTGTATGCTATTTTGGAAAGAGAATGCTAACCTTGAAAAGTGTTCCATATGCGATACTAAGCGTGATAAAGCTTCTCCTAAAGTGTTACGCTATTTCCCACTAACTTTGAGGTTGCAAAGGCTATTCATGTCGTCCAAAACAGCAAATGAGATGAGGTGGCACTCTTATAAACGAGAAGATGACGGAGTACTTAGATACCCAGCAGATAGTGAAGCTTGGAAGCATTTAGATAAAGAATATCCTACTTTTTCTGCAGAGACTCGTAACGTCAGGTTGGGTTTAGCAAGTGATAGATTCAATCCATTCGGCGGGCTTAGAAGTGACTATAATATATGGCCAGTAGTGGTTGCTGTTTACAATCTCCCTCCATGGATGTGTATGAAACAACCTTACACAATACTATCTTTGTTAATTCCAGGGAAAAGTGGATCGGGAAATAACATTGATGTGTATTTGCAACCATTAATCGAGGAGTTAAAAGAATTGTGGGAAACTGGAGCTCTTCAGGTAATGAGTACTTTCAAATGCGTGCTTCATTGTTATGGACCATAAATGATTTTCCTGCGTATGCAAACTTATCAGGGTGGTCTACCAAAGGCTATAAATCATGTCCTCATTGTATGAAAGAAACTAGCTCTGCTCGGCTACCAAATTAGGGGAAATGTTGTTACATGGACAATCGTCAATTTCTACCTACCGATCATAAATGGAGAGATAATAAATCCTTTAACGGGAAAGTAGAAAAAAGAGGTCCTCCTAGGAAATTATCTTCCAATGAGATTTTAGAACAACTAAAGGACCTTAAAGGCATGAAATTTGGTAAAACAATGAATTGCCAAAGAGGGATGATAATTGGAAGAAGAAAAGCATTTTTTTTGAATTGCCATATTGGAGTAACCTCTTACTTCGTCACAATCTTGATGTCATGCATATTGAAAAAAATGTGCTTGATAATATTCTTGGTACATTGCTAGATATTGTTGGGAAGTCAAAAGACAATCTAAAGGCTAGACATGATTTAAAGCATTTGAAGGTTATGAAACATCTTGCTCCTACATTATGAGATGGAAAGTGGCATATTCCTCCGGCACTATACACCTTGTCTAAGGCACAAAAGGAAAAAGTGTGTAAGTTTTTAGAGAATTTAAAGGTTCCCGATGGATATTCTTCTAACAGTTCTAAACGCATAAACCTCGATAAGCGTAAAATTTATGGTCTAAAGACCCATGATTGTTATGTGCTTATGGAACAACTATTGCCACTTGCAATTCGTGGGGTGTCCATACCCAAAGTGTACGATGTGATAGTGAAGTTGAGTACATTTTTCAAGGAACTCATCACTTCAGTAAAGACTTGTTTTTATTCTATACGTGTAAACAGAAAACGATGAAGAAATTGGAGAAACAAGGGAGAATAATAACACCGCTGAGGGGGGCTATGATTAGGAAGGACGACAGATTGGTCAACCACTTGAACTTAAAGATGCATCTTTGGATACTGAACCATTGAACGACAAGGAACTCATGACTGTACCAGAGAATGAGGACCTTAACATTTCATCAGGTTTGACTTTATTATCCCTTAAAACATATATATATGACAATATGCTTCAAGTCATGTCAATTCACTACCTAGTGAGCTTATGCTTGATACAGGTGCTGCAAAAAAAAAGAGGAACGATATATTGTAGAAAGCTTACCCTGTTACCTCCTGGGGAAAAACTGAATGTGGAGTTTGACGATGATGGTGTGGCTATTGGTGATAATGCTTCATTATTTTCTTTCTTCTTGGGTCAACAAGTTCGAAATAAAGCTATATGTTCGGTACAAGTTAAATGTTGGGACGATTATAAATCTGAAACATTAGACCATTTGTGGGTTGCATCACGGTAATATGTTATCATAATAAACATGTTTATGGGGTTTTTCTTTCTCTTATTAACAATGAAGTCAACTTGATGTATGAGCAATAATTAATTATCTTTGTCTTTTGCAGGAGAAGTGGTCATTTGATGACCCTGAAAATAGGCGGGAGTGTGTTATGAAACATGCACAACGTTTATTCAGAGGTTCTAGGAGAAAATTGAAATCAAATTACTTTAATGATAAAAACTTGAAAACAAAAGAAGAACGTCTCAAAAATAAGCCTAGTCATCTGACTAAAGTGGAATGGAAGTTCTTGGTTGACTATTGGAGTGAAGAGGCGGTTATGGTAAAATACACAGATAGTATATCTTTATTCTTATATAATTAACGTATATTATGTATTAAATCCTTTTTATTGTAGGAGAAGAGCAAAAAAGCAAGTGAAAGTAGGGCACATTTGAAGATGTCTCACTATAATGGCACTAAAAGCTTCGGTCGCACTAGACAAGAAATAGTATGTAACAACTACTCTTTCTAATTTTAACTTTTGATTCTTGCCATATATAGGACTACAATACTCTATGATGTCACATCAAGCCTTTATTACTACCTTTACTACATTCTATCATTTTCCAAAGAGCTCAAAAGGCTACACTAAATAAACTAATGAGACAAGCATCTGTTGCAGTTGTAAGTGGTTAGTGTTGCAGGCTGTTGTGGGTGGAGAGTGCTCCCCTGCTGTTGCTGTATTTTCTATGACCTGCACATAAGCCCTGCACACTAGCCCCCTCCCTTCCTGCATACCAGCCCCTTCCCTGCCTGCACACCTGCCCCGACCCCCTCCTGCCAGATGCCACCTGCCTACACATACCTACATCCCTCCCTACTTGCACACCAGCCCCCCTTCCCTGGATTTCCTACATACCAACCTAGTCCTTTCATACATAACAACCCCCACTCCCTCCTACCACTTACCTGCCTGCTTTCACACTAGCCCCCCTCGCCCTAGCATTCCTGCACACCACGTCACCACCCACGCCCCCCTTCCCTGGCATTCCTGCACACCACGTCACCACCCACGCCCCCCTTCCCTAGCATTCCTGCACACCACCCACGCCCCTTTCCTGCACACACCTAATTATAATTTTCTGTTTTTTTTTATTTTTTATTTTTTATTTTTTTTATTAGCTGAGTTCTGAACACATGGAAAATTAAATTCTATTGTACATAACTAAATGTCATTAGCTTCCAAACCACTAAAATTTTACGAAATAATTCTCGCACTTATTCAAAATATGCAAACGTACAATAATTAGGAGTGTAATTTGATTCTAAAAACTCTGTAATGTTTGTAGAGGAAGAAGAATGGCGGGAAGTGTTCTCGAGTTGATGTATTGGTTGCAACTCGTACAAGAAAATCTGAGAAGGCTGTGAATGCAATCAATTTGGCAAATAAAACTCATGTAGTAGTAAGTTTATAAGTTTTATGTTTGTTATTTTCCATTTAACATTTACCATCTTATCTTCTAACTTAATATTGTTTATTCATAGGATGAGATAAACAAATTAAAGGAACAAAGAGAGCAAGGTCTTAATGAGAAAACAGATGAGCAAATTATTCAGGATGTGCGTGGCAAAGATACACATGGGTATTTGAAAGCATATGGACCTGGTAGAAGTATTATGCAACATTTTAAAGTAAAGCCCTCTCGAATTGATCTTACTCAAGAGGTGAATGAAGTTAAAAAGAAAGCAGATCAAGCAATTGAAGATGCAAGAAAAGAAGCTGAAAATGCTAGAACAGAAGCAGAATAAGCTAAATTAGAAGCTGAACAAGCCAAAAAAGAGGCGAAAGCTGTTAAGAATGACGTGGAAAGAAAAATTACTGATAATAATGCAGTTTGGGAGAAGAAGTTTAGTCAACTTCTGGATTTTCTTGGAGCAGGAAGTTCATCAGATTCTGATGATTCAGGATGTCAAGGTTCAAGGTTCAAAGGAATGAAGTAAGTAATGCTATCTACACCGGTTATGCATTATACATTTTATCTTATATTCAATACAATTGTTACATTTTTTAAATCTAAAGAATCTTGACCTCTTACGATTGGCTTATAGCCTTCCTAAAACTCACATTCATTACGATCGGCTTATATTCATTACGATTGGCTTATATTCATTACGATTGGCTTATATCAACTTGATCATTTATCTATTTATTAATTGTAGGTAACAAGGAGCGAAGCACAGACGGATTGTCACATGGTATATATAAAGCATATATTGTTCTTTAGCAACATGATTTGAGTGTTCTTTTTTTTTTTTTTTTTTTTTTTTTGGGTAAGAGTGAGCTAGTGATGAGACAATGAGACAATTAATTTATAGTATGTTTGTATGTATGGGTATCAAACTCAAGTATGTTTGAATGTACTAGACTCCAAGACATTAATATGATTTTTTTAAATGTTATGTATCTATTTCAGCAATGACAAATATGACATATTTGAGAAAAACTCCATCTGTAATATTCAGTTATGCTTATATCATAGATAATGCTGCAACAAATTAAAGCTTATGCCTATTGAAATTAGTAGCCACGATGATCATTAGTGTCAAGAGATATTATTTGTCACGGTAGCAATGTGGCAATGGATTTATTTTCCACGGTATTATTTGTGGCAAACAAATAAATTAGCTACGGTATATTGCGGCGACAAAGTTTATTAGCCACGGTAATATTTGTGGCAAAGAAGATTACTGGTCACGGTAATGTTTGTGACAACCAAGTTTATTAGCCACGGTAGAATTTGTGGCGAAGAACTTGTTAGCCACATTAATATTCGTGGCAAGTGAATTTGTTTGCCACGTACATACCCGTGGCATAAAAATCGAAATTTGTCACGACATCAATTTTCCCGTGGCAAATTTCCTAGCCACGGCCTCTTGTGTCATAGGAGTAAATTTTAAAATTCCCGTGGCTACACTACATTGCCACGAGAATTTTAAACTTGTGCCACGATTTAACTCGTGGCACAAAGGTCAATTTGTTGTAGTGCTTCTTTCATCTTTTACTTACTTGCTATTTGATTTTTGCTTGTTACTTGTTCTTCTATGGATTTGAATTTGATATTGTTGATTATTTTTTATTTCTCTTAGATTTTGATATAGAAATGAAGATTAAAGCACTTTCTAGTTATTTGTTCTTGAATTTCACCATGATTAGTGAGTAGATTAGTTGCTAGGGAAAGGGGGAAGCATGTTTGATTAATGAAATTGCTAGTTGATGCTCTTTGATTGATTGATTTCTTGCAATTAAATTGGTTGACATAGTTTTGCATGTGATTGATTAGACTAGGAGCGATCAACCTATAAGATTAATCTAGATTGCATTGCAACTCTTAATGACATGAACAATTGAATTGAAAGTTGCTCTAATTGATTGGGTTTGCTTGTGATTCTTCTTGATTTACCTTTCATAGTGACACCTAGATTGGCCTATAGGAGATAGCATTTGAACTCTCTTGATTGCTACTATTGTTTGTCCATTGCAATACTTTAATTAATTGATTGATCTCTAAACTAGCATTATCATTGAACTTGCATGTGGAACCCATATCCCTAGTGTTTAGACCTTTGTTTTACTTGATTAGACTTGCTTTATTTTACCATAGTGCCAACCATAATATCAACTCCATCTTCGAGGTAGCTTGACTTAGACTCTAGTTTTCATCATTGCATTCCCTAGGGATCGACCCTTAACTTGCCCTATATTCATATAAGGTTGGTTAGGTGTTTACAAATTTTGTTTGACTTGGGGGAAAGGTAGATAACGACATACATTTTCCCCCTTGTCAAAATGGCGCCGTTGCCGGGGAGTGCTATTGGTGCTTAGCTTTTGTTGTTGAGTCTACTTCATTTTAATTGAAAAAAAAATACAAAAAGATTTTGTTTCCTTAGGCTACACTTGTAGCCGTGCTACTAATATTTTCTTTGAAGTTTAGCATGCATAGAGCTCGTGATCGATCCATTGTGCCTTTTGACCCGGAAATTGAGAGGACTCTCTCAAGAAGAAGAGTAGCTAATCGATTCTCCTTGGGGTATAGTTCTTCAAGTGAAGAAGAGATTGAAGAAGAGCAAGGCATGGGAGAAAATCCGAGAGTGGCCTTGAAGGAGCTAGGAATACCCGATGCTTATAGGTTTGAGAGCGGCATAGCTCCGCCTACAACACCGGCAAATGATTTCGATATTCGGCCGGTCATGATCACCTTAATTGAGAGGAGGCAATATAGTGGGGCTAAGAATGAGAGCCCGTTGAACCATCTTAAAGAATTTGAAAAATATTGCAACACCATCAAAGTCAACGGAGTTTCTCAAGAGTTCATACGCCTCAAGTTGTTCCCCTTCTCTCTCATAGGAAGATCCTTAGAGTGGCTAGATAAAGAGGTGAAGCCCAATTCCTTGAGAACATGGGATGATGTTACAAAGGCCTTCTTGTCCCGTTTTTACCCTCAAAAGAAGACGGCGGAGGCAAGAGCCTTGATTCAAGGGTTCAAGAAAAGTCCAAATGAAAGCCTTTACGAAGCATGGGAGAGATACAAAGAGTATCAAAGGGAGTGCCCTCACCACGGAATCCCAACATACCAAGTGGTCCAAATCTTCTATGGCGGTTTAAGTCCCCAAGGCAAGTCATGCCTTGATGGGGGGGCCGGGGGTCCTATCATGAACAAGACCGAAGAAGAAGTGGTGGACATCATTGAGGACGTGGTGACGTACTATAAAGATTGGCAAGATGGGGAGAGAGACTCTTCAAGCAAGAAATCTTCTTTGTACTCGGTAGACCATCTAAATGCGATTAACAACCTTTCCTCCCAAATGACAAACTTGGGAAAGGAGATGACCGCAATCAAAGCCAAGTTGGAGAGCACTTCTACTTCATCCCAAGCTTCGAATCTTCCCTCCCAATTTAAGGGGAGAGGTACTCCTTCTAACTCTCAACCCCCTCCCTCTTCACATAATATGCCTATGGGTTGTTTGTTTTGTGATGCATGTGGATCGTATGATCATGACTCTAGTAATTGTCCTAATGAATGTGTTGATGAGTTTGATAACAATGAGAGTGAGCATTTGAATTATGTGTCAAATAATAATGCTCAAAGGTTTGATAATCAAAGAGGTCAATGGAATAGGAATTACCAAAACCAAGGCAATTTTGACAACTATAATCAAGGTGGTGGTTATAGAAACAAAGGGAACCAAGGTTTTCGTGGTAGCTATAATAATCAAGGTTATAGTGGCCAAAATCAAAGCCAAAATTATGGTAATCAAAACCAAGGTTATGGAAATCACAACCAAGGTAGTGGGTAACCATAATCAAGGTGGTGGTAACCATAATCAAGGTTATGGACAAAATCAAAATAGGGGTACTTGGAACAATCAAGGGAAGGGCAATTTTCAAAATAATGCTCAAAGAGGTCCCCCACCCAGATTTGTTCCAAGGACTCAAGGAGAAAATTCCTATTCCCAACCTTCTTCACCTAGGACCAATTTGGAAGAAATAATTGAGAATCAAACTAATTTGTTGAACACATACATAGCCGTTAGTGATACGAAGTTCAATGAAATGATGACCCACAATAAAATGCTTGAAAATCAAATTTCTCAACTTGCTAATGCTTTGAAAGATCATGCAAGCCCTTCTTCTTTACCTTCCCAAGGTCTTGATCCCAAGAAATACGTGAATGCTATTGTTACTAGGAGTGGTAAGGTTCTTGAGGAGAGATTGCCTAGGAAGGGTGAGGATAAGGAGATTCCTAAGAAAGCCTTGGTTGAGAATGAGGGGGATAGGGCATCATTAGATGAGGTTGTGGTTGAGACACCTAGAGAGGTGAGAGTAGAGAAAGAAAATGTGAAACCCAAGCTCCCTTACCCACAAAAATTCATGAGACACAAATTGGATGAGCAATTTGGGAGATTCATTGATATGCTAAAACAACTTCATCTTTCTCTACCTTTTACCGATGTGATCAACCAAATGCCAAATTATGCCAAATTCCTCAAGGACATTTTGAGTGGGAAAAGGACTTGTGAGGTTGTGGAAACTATCAATTTGACCGAAAATTGTAGTGCTATCATCATGAACAAAATGCCACCCAAATTGAAAGACCCCGGAAACTTCTCCATCCCTTGTGCCATTAACAAGATGCAAATTGATAATGCCTTATGTGACTTGGGAGCTAGTGTTAGCATAATTTCATATTCGGTTTATCAAAGGCTTGAACTAGGGGAACTCTTACCTTCTAACATTACCTTGCAATTAGCCGATAGGTCAATCAAGTTTCCAAAAGGTAAGGTAGAAGATGTTCCATTGAGGTTTGGGAAGTTTCTGTTCCCGGTGGATTTTATTGTGCTTGAAATGGATGAAGATGCTACCATTCCAATCATTTTAGGTAGACCCTTTCTTGCTACCTCGGGGGCTATGATTGATGTGAGGAGTGCAAAGATTTCCCTTAAGGTAGGAGATGAGGTCATTGAATTTGATTTGAATGAAAGCATGAAATATCCATCTTCTTCTCTAGAAAATTGCATGATGATTGATTCACTTGATCATGTTGTGTCTTCCATGCATGAGCACTCGCTCACCTCTAACGATGCTCTTTAGAATGTTTTGTTGAACAAGGACAAAGTAAGTACACCATGCAAGGAAGTGGCATTCTATGAAGAATTGCTTAATCTAAGCATGGAAGAAGTGGATGAGAAAATGCGCTTGATAATCTCAAGCCAAGAGGCTTTGCAAGCGGCCACATCAAAGGAAGGTAATGGTGTTCCTATGGTAGAGCTCAAACCTCTACCATCACACCTTAGGTATGAGTTCTTGGGCCCTCATTCCACTTATCCCGTGATAGTTAGTGCATCCTTGAGCGTGAGCCAAGCTCAAGCGTTATGTGGTGTTTTGAGAAAGCACCAAGGTGCTTTGGGGTACACAATTGATGATCTTAAAGGTATAAGCCCCGCCTTGTGCCAACACCATATAACACTTGAGGAAGGCGCCCTTCCTTCTATCGAACGAAAAAGAAAACTACATCCCCAAATGGGAGAGGTAGTTAAGAAGGAGATCACCAAGCTATTGAATGCGGGAATCATATTCCCCATCTCTAGCTCAAGGTGGATCTCCCCCGTGCATGTAGTTCCAAAGAAGGGGGGCATGACCGTGGTTGAGAATGAGAAGGGTGAGCTCATTCCAACTAGGACGATCACGGGTTAGCGGATGTGTATAGACTATAGACGTCTAAACACATCCACCAAGAAGGATCACTTCCCTCTTCCATTTATTGATCAAATGCTTGAAAGACTAACAAGGCACAAGTTCTATTGTTTCCTCGATGGATATTCGGGATTCTTCCAAATCCCCATTCACCCTGATGATCAAGAGAAAACTACCTTCACATGTTCTTATGGGACCTTTGCCTATCGAAGAATGCCCTTTGGGTTATGCAATGCACCCGCTACATTCCAAAGGTGCATGATGAGTATCTTTGGGGATATGTTGGAGGAGGAAATGGAGGTCTTCATGGATGA